TAGCTGCTATACATTACACGCCTGTAAGGCAGGAGGATTTGACGCACTGTGTTTTCAGCCATTCTTGAACACAAAAATGCCACAAGATAAGAATTCCGTGTGAGAGTGAAGGTCTGCTTTATCCACCCTCTGTTCCACAAAGGCCAGGAGTACACCTATGGAGAAAGAATGGAATAAAAGCCAAACAAAACCAAACCCAAACCTAACCAACCAACCAAACCCCCACCAAAATTTTAAAAAATACCTCAAAATGCCAAACAACCAAAACCAGACAGCTCCGGCCTTCCTGTTTATTTCATTAACTTAATTATTAGTTAGTAATTAACTTTGTCCTCAGTTATTGAACTATTTGAACAGTTGCATTCACACATTTCTGTTCAAACAGTCTGAAGAGAAAGACACAGCCAAAAAGAAGGAATATCTGAATGAACAGTCCTTGAAGATAGATGATGCCAACCTGGTCTCAGCCTCAGCAAGCACAGAGCCTCCCAAGACCTCTCACGCCAGAACTGTGCCTCTCCAGCCCAGCAGAATTTTGGCTCGAGAAGCAGCAAACCATCTTCAAGAGAAAGACTCTGTTTTATGTGCCACGGAAGAGGAAAAAAACTCCTGCACTGCCCCGTCTGAGGGCAGCTCATTACACCAAGCCCTTAAAAGCAAGGATGTCGCTTGCAGGACCAGGCACGACGTTTCCTCACAGACTGAGAGCTCTGTCGCAGAAGTAAAGAAGGTGGATGTTGCTACCCAGTGCAGCACTACACAGGTGTGCAGCTGTGGGAGCTCCCTCCCCTCTGCCTGCAGCCTGGAGGGGGTTCCTCTTCCCAGTGCCGCAGGCACCGCTGGAGGGCACAAAACGGTAGCGCATGAGGTGCTGCAGCCTGCGGGCACGGGCAGCGTGGCAGGAACAGCAGTGGTTTCTGCTGAGGGCGAGTATCAGAGTTTGGCTGACAGAGGGACTCTAGAGGTGCTGAACTACATTGTTATCATGAAGGAGAGAGAGAAGCAGTGACCAGCTAGAACGGCACCTAAGGAATGGAGAAGTTCTGTCCTGTTCGCAGTGTGTTTTTTTTCGCCAAGTTAGACAAAATACTTTTTTGCTGCTTGTTTGCTTTAAATTATTATCAACTGTGGATCTCTAACTGCCTACTGCTATCTCTAACTATGGATTTCTGCAGATCTCCAAATGATAAAATAGGATTTTACAGTAGCTTAGTAAATACAAACCTCAGGAAGTAGATCGGCTTTCCCACCATGTAACCATAGGATTCTGTAGTTTAAGAGTGACTCTGCTTTTCTAAAAGGTAGTGGAAAGATTCTGTTTCACTTCAAAATGTATTCAGTGTGGCTCTTAGTTCAGCACTATTGTCTGATTCTTATCCATTTTAACAGGCAAACTTTGCCATATGCTTGTACTAAATACAAAAATGGGAAACAACAGAAAATGCACATCTGCACACATAGAATAAAATGTAATTTAAAAAAACAATTATTTCTTTTTTGCCAAAAAAAGCCCACAAGCCACAAATTCTTAATCTTCCTTCCGTAGCAGATCTATTTATTCATTCTCTGGCTGTTAACACTGACGAATCTTTTATGTGTTTCTGTATTTTGCCTGCTGATTGAAAACTGAAATTCTTTCCTCTTCATTTCAGTATTTATGTGAAGCTGCAAATCACAACAAATAAAAGATTCTGATAACATTGTTTCTAGCTTATATTCATTCATTCTAAAAAAGTGCCTTGTAAAGGTGTCAGGGAGACTCACTGACATCTTCTGCTTGTATGTCCATATATCTTTACATGTATCTACATGTCTAGATCTATGTATCTTAGGGATGTGTGTGTGTGTGAAAAAAAAATATATATATATCCATACGTATGTGCTGGCATTAGCCAGCTGCCTGCATGCAGGGATCCTGTTCATTACAAAGCGGGCTTGAGCAAAAGCTATGCTGGAGACTGTTCCTTAAGGAGTGCAGGAGATTTCTTCTATAAAGTTCGCATGTTGTGCTCTCTCCCTTGGAGACAGCTGCCTTTATTTCACTGCCTTTATTTCCACCAGGTCAGTTTCTTTTATTTCTACATTTTGTAATGAAGGTTTTTGCAGATAAAAGGATGTGTGTCACCCAGCCCTGACAAGATCTGTCACCATTATTTGTCTCCATTCTCATCATCAAACTAGTGGTTGTATTCTCTGCTGGCTTTTATTTTTGAAGCTAAGAACCATCTTTTAAAAACAGGTCTACATTGCTCAACAGTTTGCACGTTTATGGCTGTGCCACTTTAAAACAGCATCTCAGAAATCTCAGTGAACTTTTCTGTACTTGGAAGAAAATAGCATTGTCTTTTATATCTACAAATGGCATACAGGGGAAGTGGTTTGCACAGATGAACTTCTGAAATGTGTAACTATCATTTAGTCAATTCACTGCCCACTTCCTAAGGCTTGACATAAGCACATTTTCTTTTTTAGGCTGCCTCAATTTATTGTCAAAGCAAGCTCCTTAGTCAGTTTTTTTATAAAATCTGAAACTGCAGTGTTCCTTGTCTTCAGAGGAGCTATAATTTATTTGAATAACAGCTATGATTTGCTGAAAGCTCAGTCCTTACCAGTGGTTTGTAAGGCAGAGCTGTTCGCTCAGTGTTATGAAGCCCATTCAGACTGTGCCACAGCAGCAGTGGCTCGTGCTCATGAATTAGGACATCTCTAAGGCATGCATTTTCCCAGCAACCCTGTACCTGGTACGTACCTCTCAGTCTCCCCAGTGGTGCATGTCCAGCTCCATGGCCCTCTCCACAGCCGATGCTGCTCCAACCTGCTTGGTCCCACAGCCCCCTGCAGCATGCTGTGGCAGGGCCAGTGAATGGCACATTACAGCTAAAAGCTCCAGCACTGTGCACTTTAGATTTGAGGGGTTTTATGAGACTGGCAGATGTAAAATCACCACATGGCCAGAGAGAACTCTGGTGGCTGTGCTTAGAGAGGTGCTGCAGTGACCAAAACCCGCGGTAATCTGCCATTCACTCCTGATTTCTGCAAGAGTGGCATCATTGCTGGGATTTGTAAATTTTGGGTTGTTTTACAGTGAAGTGAGTCACCTAGGTTCAAGCAGACGCTCCTGATCTGCAGAGCTAGCCTCTGAGCAGGGCACATTCCCAGCCTGGTCCTGTGAACTGTAGGACAAAGAGTGTGGGTCAGCACTGGGAAGAGAGTGGATTGCACTGTATGGACATGTGCGTATAGGGGTTTCAGATGAAGCAATAACTCTTGTTATGTCTCATGTTTCATCATAATTTGATGATCTTAAAGGCCTTTTCCAACCTAAATGATTCTGTGATTCTAATGTAGAGCCTTTCAGTGGCTATAGCTTATTTTCACCTCAGGCACTGATACAGATGCTCTCAAAATCCATCCAGTTTCAGCCTAGATTGCACTGTTTCCCAGTAAGGACTGAAATTCCACAGCTCAGTGCCAGACACCCACTTTCTGACTGGCTGTATGTAAGAGCTGTGTATATGTCTCTAATGCAGTAATTCACCACTTGGGATATGTCAATCACTGCAGATAATCCTGTTCCAAAGTCTTTGGATGAGAGCCTATAAAATCCAATTACCTTACAATTTTTACCTGTAATTGCAAAGCAATCAGAAGAAAGAAAATCATCTTTGTAGTGGTATGTGTGCTGGCAGCAGTGATAAGTAAGGCAACGTGCTCTTTTTAGCCACTAGAGAAATATTTTAAAGTATTTACATTGCTATTATTGCATTAGAAGAGAAATGTGCTTTCTCCTTATCTCAGCACCAGTCTCCCCCTCTGCTCAGGTGAATGAACTTTGGGGAAGAGCTGAATTTGGTTTACCAGAAAACTCCTCCCTTTCAGTTGTAGCCTCAAATTGCGCTTGCTTTCTGAAGCTGATACTTCAGCAGCCGATGCTATGAATCCACTGATATTTGTAACCTACACTAATGACCGTCCCCCCGCTATACACGCCCAAGCACGGTCATCTTTCTCTGAGGCAGCAGCACAAGCAGAGAGGCTCCTCATTCATCCATGTGAATCTCTCTGGCAGTGGGCTAAGGCTCTGGGAAAGCCACAGAAACGTGTGGTATTAACTGTGTTTGATAAGCATCAATTATAAGTTGAGTTTTGCTGGGGGAAAGGACAGAAGGTTACCTGTAATTAACAAAAAAACTCAAGCACTGGTTTAACGGTGGCACTCGAATGCTTCTAAAGACATGGAGAGAAAGAGTCTCTCACTGGCAATGTTACCTGAAGCTTCAATCAGAAGCAGTTTTAATATGCAGCTGGTAACCTCCTTCATATAAAAACGGTTCTAATTACAGTAACCTGCAAGAGTAAGATTTTCTGGGCAGGCACTGAGAGAAGTTTCATTTCATCAATGGAGCAGTTTATTGTTGAATGTTACTACGCCAAAAGTCTCCACAAACTTTGTAGAAATCCTTATTTCATTTTTGTGAAGGATTATCATTGTGGGAAATGAGAAGCTTAAGCCTTCATATAGGTGATTGTTTCTTAGGTGGAAACTGTAAATTGGCTTTTAAAGGGTTTTAGCAGAGAGCAGATTCAGGAAAGATGAGGTTTCCTGGAAAAAATTATTCAGCTTTCTGCATCCAACACCTCATCTGTTCCCACAAAAGCAAATGAGCTTCCTGCAACCCTTCTTCAGCCTCTTCTCCCTGTCAGCCTCCGGTGGGGTAGAGGTGACAATCCCAGTTACCCAAACCAGACCTTGCCTCTCCAGGGCTGCTGATACTGAACTCCAACAAAGTCTCATAACTGTGAGCTCTCTCTCTCACCTGGCCACACTGTTGTAAATTCGCACCTTACACGTTGACAGTGCTACTCTGCGTGCTGCAGCTCTCCAGATGTGAAACCCAACAGAGTGGCTTGCAGTGAGCTCACACACAGCACGCAGGCAGCTGCAGAGAATGCTGACACCCAGGCTCCCTTTAAGGCCATGGGGAACCCTGATCCGAAAGACAGAGGGGTGGAGAGTCAGTGGAGATAAGGTGCAATGCCGTAAGAGGGCCATGTATTATTCCATAGAGCTGGGATGAGACATTTCCAGTCACAAGTGGTATTCCCCAGGCTTCTGTTTTGGGGCCAGTCCTGTTTAACATC